CTCCTCCGCCCCCGCCTCCGCCTGCGCATCCGCTTATGCTTGCTCCTCCTTTTCCTCCTTCTGTTCCTCCTCGTCCTCGTCCTCATCGTCATCGTCGTCCTCGTTCTCGTCCTCGTCCACGTCCTCGTCCTCGTCCTCCTCCTTCTCCGCCTCCGCCTCCTCCTCCTCCTCATCATCCTCCACCTCCTCCTCCTCCTCCTCCTCCGCCTCCGTCCTCGGTCCTCCCTCCACCCTCCACTCTCCACCCTCCTCCGTCCTCCTGCTCCTGCTCCTGCTCCTGCTCCTGCTCCTCCTCCTCCTCCTCCTCCTCCTCCTCCTCCTCCTCCTCCGCCTCCTCTTACTTACTACCTGCCTGTAGGACGGAACCCACAGCGAGGACCCCCCTTATATAGCCAGGTCCAGCACGACGGAGGACAGGCCGAAATCCTCGCTCACAGCCCCAACCTGCTCCAGGCATGCCTGCATATTCAAAACGGATGCTGCGCACCACACCAAAGAACCATGAAGGCCATGCGCAAGAAGGCGTCACGATGAAGGAAAAGCCCAATCGCTCAGCGCTGAACTCATGAGCTAGAAAACCGCCGCTCCCACCTTGCCCAACGCCGAAGTTGGGCCAATCGATCAGCGGCCCTGTGGGGATAGCTGGCCGCCCATCCATCAGCATCTCGAAAATGGGAGCTTCACGCTCATTTGGCCGCCGCAGCAGAGGCCGCACACACTCCTACTCCACTGCGACGGCCGCCGCAAGAGTGCCACGCGTCGAACGGGTCGGAACCACCGCCTCCGCACCATGGCTACCGCTCTCCTGCGGCAGAAGCACCGCGCCACCATCTCCACCATCAACGCTCGCATGGGTTGAATACCATCCCCAGGCGTAATTGGGATGTGGCGCTTCCGTAGCTGACGATGACTGGGCCGTACCGCAGAGAACTCCGCCATCTCTCGCATGGGACGAATACCCTCCCCAGGCGGCTTTGGGAGATGGCATAACTGTTGCTGACGCCGGCTGGAACTGCAACGCTGCCTCCGACGCAGCACCTGCTGCACCAGTAGCGTTGTGCAACTCATCGTGGTCCTCGACCTTCGCATCAACGGGGAGAGGCTCGACAAGTTTAAAGATTGGCTCCTCAGGGTGGGCAATCCAAACCCCAGGTACGAAGGGAGGCGCATCTGGGTTCAAGACGGTCTGGCTTTCCCTGGATTCCAGCCTTGTGGACTTCTGGAGCTGCTTGAAAGCCGCCACGGGGACCGTCGCTAAAGAGACTCCAGAAGCCTTGGCATGCATCGCGACATTCCGCCGGAGCACATCAACGTCTGCAAGTTTTGTCCAGCCACAAGTGCCTGCAGGACCGGAACCACACAACTGATCCTGTCGGCAACCTCGGGATCTCCAACCAATAGCTCCAGCACTCGCTAAAACTGGAGGAGCTGGTGGCGTGCGCCAATGAGCTCGCTGGAGATTATCTGAATGGCGTTGTCTGCGGACCATCTGGCCAAATCGCGGCCCACTCGCCGCTGGGCCGCGGTGCGTTTTGACGCGCCATCCGCGCCACCCCGTACGCCAACCATTTCTCGGGCAGCAAAATTCGCATCTCCAGTCGCTCCAGCCGCGGGGGACATCACCATGCCGGCTTGAGCAATGGGGCGTCCCAGTCCTCGTCCTCGTCCTCGTCCTCCTTTCCTCCTGCTCCTCCTCGTCCTCCTGCGCCTCTTCCTCCCTTGCTTCCTGTGCGTTCCCTCTCCTCCTCCTCCTCTTCCTCCTCCTCCTCCTCCTCTCCTCCTCCTCCTCCTCCTCCTCCTCCTCCTCCTCCTCCTCCTCCTCCTCGTCGTCCCAAGGCTGTGACGCTGCAATTCAAGACTTCGTGACGTCGTGCGCCCTATTTGTGTACACCTTGGCACAAGAGCACTTTGTAACGATTCGCGAAGATGCCAACTACAGAGGCCGGTGCTCGCATTCTGATTACTTCACGCACGGTTCGCGCCTCTGGAGACCCCCAGAGAAGACCCCTGGGAAACCTCCAGGGATCGCAGGAGGCCTTCGGAGAGCCCTCCGAAGGCCCCCTCTAGAGAGACCTTCGCGGGACCTCCGAAGGCCTCCACGTGAAGGTCCCAGCGAGACCTCTGGGATCTCTGAAGGTTCCTGGAGGCCTCTGGACGTCGGTCGTCGTCGTCGTCTTCGTCGTCCGTCGTGGTCCTCAGTGTCGTCGTCCTGTTCACTTCTAAATGCCGCGAGCTCAACTCGTGACGTTACCGCCCTCCTAGTAACGCCTGCTGTCGCGAGAAGATACAACACACCTTCTTGCCTCGAAATTTGCAGGCTGCCCTGGAAGGCTTTCCCCAATCGTCACGGCCGATGCATCTCGTTTCATTATGCTTCGACCTACCAACGTTTGGTTGCTCACTACTATTTGTTGATCATGTTCTGCCACGAGCGTGTGTCGCCACCGGCGAGTTGGAAAAACGAGCCACGAATTCAACTCGAACGGCGAACACATGGTCAACATAACACGTTCAAATGGTAAACTCTGATGTGTTGACACCGTGTGGACGTCACGTTGAGGCATGACTGTTAACTGCCTGGTAGGGCCTCTGAGATCACCAAGGTTGATCCCCTTTGGGCCATTATGAAATGCTGCCCTCCGACGCTCTCCATGACTCCACAATTGCCAGAGACCGCCCCGACATGGCTGCAAAATGCCACACGACCCGTCAAAAGAAAGCTCAAGCATTCCCAACAAGTCCTGAGATAACCCAGCGGCCCGGAGCCCTCCAGCGGAGCCATTGGATGCCTAAAGCATTGGACAACATGTTGCTTGGCACGGTTTAGCTTCCCAAGCTCTCTTTGGCGAAGGCCTCCTCGCGACAGCCCAAGAGGACCCCAAGACAGCCCAAGACGGCCTGGCATGGCCCAAAGAGGGACCCCCAAACGAACTGAGGACCGTGTCCAGGTCAAAGGACACCGCAAGACACTTCCGACACAACCCCAAAACTTGCCCTACCAACCTCAAGATGGTTCTGCCGACCCGTTCTCCCGCCTGCGGGCCCACGGGATCCCCGCATCATCACAGCTATATCGAACCTCTTCGAGAGAGCTCGGTCGGGCAATCGCGACCGGGGCAACCCAGAAGCAGACTGGAGGCCCGCAGAGGCCCGTAGAAGTAGGGGTAGAACCACGGTGGAAACATGGTCGCACAATGGTGGAATCACAAGGCAACCACAAACCAACTCGATGCTGCGCTGCGCGGTAGCGGGGCTTGCCGCATGCAGCTGGATATGTAGCGCACAGAAGGCCACAATCCTGGAGCGCAATATGGCCGCATCCTCGATCTCTCCAGGAAGCACAGCTTGATGTCCTTCGGATGCCAGAAGCGATTTCCCCGACGCATTGCTGACACCTTCCGCTGTGATGAATGCGCCTCATTACGCCTTGCCCCCATCTCTCCCTCGCTATGCTGGATCCTGTGCGTCACCGTGCAAGCGTGCACACCTAACCAAAGACACATGCGAATAGAGACACACATGAACAAGGAAAGCCAAATGCGCACCAACGCCCACACTCGCATGGTGAGGAAGGATCGGCCTCCACCATGCCAGAGCCTCTAACTCGAGGGGGACTCCCATGCCCAAAGAAGGGGGCCAAACAAAACTGGGGAAAGACCACCTCGAGAGGCCCCCCACTGCGCCGGAACCCTCGAGAGGGGGTGCGGGTCCGGCGTAGCCCTGGGGGGCCTACACGGAGCGAGGAGGCCTTTCGAGCACGGTTCGGGCCTCCCACACTGTCGCACAGCACCGAGAGGCTTCTGCAACAACAGGGACAGTCAGGGCCCCCAAGGGGACGGCGATGTGGCGCAAGCGATGGATTGGTATGCGTCCGCGCTTCTGCAAATGCGGCGGCGGTACTGTGATGCCCACCTGGATACCGGGAACGAGCAACGGACGAGGCACCGTTGATGACCCTGCGCTGTAGATAGATACTACTGGACGCACGACATGCCGTCGTTGCGCGATGCATGAGCGCGCGCTGCTACGGGACCTCTGCCGTAGCATATCAAGTTGATACTGCTGTAGCGTCCTCTCCTTCCTCCTGTTGGGCCCTCTGCCCCATTTGGCGGCGAGGGGGAGGGAGGGATCTCACCCTTCTCTTCTTCCCCGCCCACAAAAAGATGGAACCCCCTTCGCTCCTGGCATCGACTTTGTGATCGGAATGTGAGCGCCGGCTGGCACAAGCGAATCGTAGTGCGAATGGCCTCCGCGGAAAAAATCTATCACATGTCGCGCGCGAGTGAAGGTGGGGAGGGAGACGATTTAGGAGGAATCAAATGAGAAGGAGCAAGAAGACACATGACACTCGGGCAACCACTCACGGCATGCTTTCGAGGTCATCGCTGGATGCTGTCTCATGCTGCAATCGGTGCGTGTGGCAATATTTACTTATGTTTCTCGAACGATGCACAAGCGCCTGCACTGCAAGCTCGTGCATCAACAACTCTACGTTGCTCATTCGGACAGCATATTTGGATGCCATACATGATCCCCCGATTACAACGAAACGCTTTGCTCGTAAGCGAGCGGAGAGCTGATGGTGCTTGTGTCCGGTAACGCCGCGTACGCTGCATGCGCTGCCATCGTCATGAACCCCCTGCCCCTGTTTCCTAGCGTCCAACAAGTCAGGGAGACTACGTATCTCATAGCGGCCAGGAGGGGGGTGGGAAGAAGGGAGGATGCGATGATCAGTCCGAGAAGAAATGATAGGAGGGGAAGGGTCGGAGGAGGTGCCATCAACAGAACCTGCCCCGAAGCAACGAAATCAGTGAACGGAACGCCGACCGAAAGATCAGATGGACTGATGACGGTTGAATCGAGTCGGCTCGAGCTGGCCCAGCGGGCCGACGTACTGGGCCACGGCGTGGGCGGCCCCACACCTGCGCTCGACAATCGCAGGGGCGCCCAGCGCCGCCGGGCCTGTGTACTGCAGCCGGATCGGGCGTGGCCACGTGGCGTCACAAGCCTCCGGCGCGGCATGGGCAGGCGCACGAGCGCACGCGAGCACGACGAAGGACGGCGCGCGCGAATGCGCCGACCCCCTCCTTCTTCTGCTCCTCCTCATCCTCCTCCTCGCCGATCTTATGCTCCTGCTGCTGCTGGTGCTTCTCCCCTGGCTCATCCAACTATTTCACCTCCTCCTCCTCCTTCTCCTCCTCCTCATGCCCCATCCTTCTCCTCTTCTTGCTCCTGCTCTTCAGCCTCCGCTAACTAACGCAGCTCCTTCTGCTCTTCCCCCTCCTCATTCTCCTCCTCCTGCTCCTCCTCCTCCTCCTCTTCTTCCTCCTCCTCCTCCTCCCTCCATTTTGATTTCCGCCGCGTGACACGAATACTTGGCTCCTGTGTTGGTGCTGCCTCTGAAAACGACCTCTTGACAAGAAAACGGGCCTGGCACAAGTAACCCATCACCTCCTCCTCACATACATGCCCCGATCCTGGCTTCGAACCGTCGGTCCAACCGCTAATTTCCTTTTGTGGGGCAACCAAAAGGTACCGATACCGCTACTCCCCGGACCTCTCCTGGGGTGGGTTCTGACCAGAATTTCGAGGCGAATCCAGCGGTGGCGACGAGATCCTGCGAGGATGCCCAAACAGGGGAAAACGGCCGAAGGGTAGAGGTATGGGTACCTTTTCCTCCTCTGACTTTGGAGCTGCTCTTGCGGAATACGCCGTGGAACTCACTTGCCCGTCCCTGCTCAACATGCAGGAACCGCGCGGACCTCGAGTTTTGAGGCCACCACCGCCGAGCGCCCCCGCAGCCTAGGCAGAACCGCGGGCGGCCCCGGGGTGCTGCTGATTGCCGTGCGCGGGGCGAGGAAAGGTGGGGCGCCGTGGGCGAGCAGAAACTTGGGGAGGATCGTTGTCATGGCCCCAACCATGACATCCCCCCTCCTTCTTCTCCTCCTCCTCCTCCTCCTCCTCCTGGCCATCACCCCTCTCTTGGCCGCTCCCGAGCTGAGCCCCGACGGGGCCACGACGGAAAAGGTCGAAGGCGCCGGCCACGGCCATGCTCGCGTGGGACGCCACGCTGTCTGCCTTTGCTCACGGCCCCGTCGGTGCCAGCCGTCGCGGCACCATCAGTAGCTTGCGCCAGGGAGCTACGCCCGCCGTTTGGAGACTCCATTTGCTCGGGCTGCAAATTTGGGCGCTCTCCTGCGCTCTGCTGGGCGCACTGGCCCAGAAGCGCTGCCATTCAGCTCTGACTGCCTACCGGCAACGCGCATGCCATAACCCCGCTGCATTCCACGCCTCTTCGTCGGCATGCGAATTTTGCAGCCAGACCAGCTGAGGGAGTTCGGCTCTCCCCGCGCCTTCTTCCGCCGCTGGAGCGGCTAACGAATGAGTGCGCTTAGTCGGTGTCCCTCCTCCTCCTCCTCCTCCTCCTCCTCCTCCGTCTCATGGGCCATCCGTACGTGCATATCAACATGTCCAGCGCGCAGGCACATCCCAACGCGAACAAGCAATGAGCAGCAGTGCACCAACGGAGTATATGACACCAGCATGCTCTACACTACAAGGCAATGGCGCACGTTGAAGCGGAGCGTTGATCATAAGAGCACACATGTTCAAAGGCACATGTGAATCCACAACTTGTAGTTTTGGCGCATGGATGGGTGGGGAGGAGTATGAGAGGAACGGGAAAGCGAACCACTTCGTGACGCGGGGGTCCTTCTGGCATCGATCTGGTCGCTAAAACGTGGCCCGCTGCTGCATGATTTGGCCTTTTGGCGTGGAGGTAAACCGAAATGCGCTCAACCTCGAACTCTTCATCCGCTCCTCCGCCGCATATTCTTCGCCTTGCGCATCATCCTCTGGAGGAGCGCCTCTCAGATCTTGTCTGCCCAGAAGCCCATAAAAGGGGCTGAATTTCTGGGCAGCGGAACACTGCATGAACCCTTTCGCCTCCACTTTCGGCCCTCCTCCTTTCCCCACTCTACCTCATCCTCCTGCTGCCTCCTACCCCATTCCTTTTCCTCCGTTGCGAAGCGACAGCACGGGCCGTGACGGTGTCTCTTCTGACTTACCCACCAACGTCGCGATTTTCCCCTCTACTTTGGGACTCGAATGGGTCGCCTGGCTGGGCGCTTCCGTCGTCAAACCCTGTCCCAGGTACTTCATCTTCGTTCGATTGTCCTTCATTTATTCTAACGATCGGCTTTCCGTCGTTTTCTTGCCTTCATCAGACAATATTGTTCGTTTTCGTTCATCGATTGGCATTGCCATCATTATGTTGTCGACATGTCTGGCCGTCCGTCGTTCTTGCCATTGCTTGTACGCTCCATGTTCGTTTGTCCGTGCTTCATGTTGTTCGTCCCACGGTTGCACAGGACTTCCCTCCGATGTCATTCGCTTGGTCAACGCGCTGGCCGAGAAACACGAACACATGCGAATCAACCCTGTGAACACAATGTCTCGGCTCGTACTCTCACGACTTCGGCATGCACCCAGTGCGTTCTGCCCCCTTTCCCCCTCGCTCCTGACCGCTGCGGCGCGCTTCTGCCCAGCGCCGCACCGGCGGACACCCTTGAAGGGGCCCCAGGACACACAAATAAATACACACAAAGAAAAGGATTCCCCATATTTTCCCATATTTTCGGGGTTTCTGTCTTCCCCCCCACTTCCCATATTTTCCCATATTTTCTGAGAATCGAGGATTAATTGTGTCTGTGTGTTTTTTCCCCTCCTGACTGTGGTGCTCCATGGCCCGCATATGGGCGCCGCGGCCCGCGGCGCAGGTGATGTCGACGCCAGGCCGCCCCCTTCTCGGCGCCGCGACGGCCTCGGAGGTGGGGAGCCCACAGAGGACGCGCGCGCCCAGCTATGTACATGAACGCGGCCCCCTGACCCGCGAGACCTGCCGCGTGATACGAACATTCGCGTAACGCGAACTCTCGACACCAGCGTGGATTCATGTACGTGCACGTCCTTCTTTCGTTCCTGAGGGCGGGGGGGCGCGATAGGGGGGCGCCTGGCGCCGCGCGGGCCGCGGGTGCTCAGGCGCCCGCTCCCCTTCGCCTCTCGGCTAGGGTGTTGCCGCCGGTGGCGACGGTGCAGAATGGGTCCAGAGCGACCCTCATGCTGCTGGGTGGGGACTAAGATTAAGTCGGGCGTGTCCCCCTACAGGCGAATTTTGGACGAAAATTGTAAAATGGTCAAACAAATACATCAAAACATAAATACAAATACTAGAAACACCGTTCCCAGACTATGTTTGTGACTGTTTCTGAATATTCCTCCTGTAGAGGGACAGGCCCGACTTAAGACCAAGACCCGGACGACTCCTGAGAAACCCGGGCGGCGGAGGCCCGTTCGCACGAGCGCTCGGCTCCAGAGAACTTGTGCCAGCTGCCCTCCCCCCCCCCCTCGCTCCTGGCCGCCGCGCCGTGGCTTTCGCGCCGCAGCGGCGGTCGCGCCGCAGCGAGGGGCGCCCCGTGTTGTTCTGTGGCCCGCAGCTAAAGCCGCGGCACGCGGCGTAGGTGGCGTCGACGCCAAGCCCCGCACCTCCCCCCCCCGTCTCGCTTCCGCGACGGCCGGGGGAAGGCGCGAGGGGAGCGGCTGGAGGCTGCTCAGGCGCCCATTTCATGCTTCCCACCCTGCCACTGCGAGAAGGCCCTGGGTTGGCAGTGGGTTCGCAGGCCACGGCGCGCAAGTGCCATGCCTTGTTTGGCCATTTTCTTCTCGGTAGCCGACAATCGCTCACGCTCCAACGTAGCCGCCAAATCTTGAAAGTACATTCTGACAGTTGCTTGACGCCTCCACCATCCTCGCGCATGTCTTACTGAGGCTGCCGGGGATCTCGACGCGATGAGAAACGCCCCCTCGGCGCGCGCAGGGTTTACTCCCGCGCCCCTCTCCCAACGCGGCATCTGACTTCTCTGAGTGAAGCTCGCAGCGTCGCGACGGAAAAGCCGGGCTCCGCTAGGGCGGCAAGCTAGAGCGCGGGCTAAGATACTGACTGCTTCGAGCTCGCCCATGTCTGAAGGGGCCCCAGGACACACAAATAAATACACACAAATCAAAATATTCCCCATATTTTATCATATTTTCTGTGTTTTTGTCTTCCCCCCCATTTCCGATATTTTCCTATATTTTCTAGGAGTCGACGATTAATTGCGTCTGTGTGTTTTTTTCCCTCCTGAATGTCGACGCGCTCGAGGGTGCCAGACCGCGCGCCTCCACTAGGGAATCCGAGGTCCGAACGCACCGCGCCCTCGCCCAGGTGGGGCGCGCGCTGCCCCGCGGCGAACAGCGCTGCGCGCGGGCGCAGCAGCATGCCACTGACGCAGACGAGGGCGCCAGCAGACCTCTGAAGGCCCCCCTCGGCCAGAGCAGAGCCTGCTACGGCCAAGACCTGCTCTGGGAGCGGAGGCATATCCCGAGGGGATCTCAGCATTGGGCCACGTCGTAGAGGGACGCCAAGGGCAGCGCAATCCACGGCGCAAGCTCGTCACCGATCGCTGAAGGCTGGAAAACGCGTCGCCGGCGCGAGCCTTCGCTTCGCCCGGCGACCAGGAGTCTTCGATTAACCCGCCCAACCTTGAAGGGGCCCTGGGACACGCGAATAAATGCGCACAGTTAACAGTATTCCCTATGTTTTCCCATATTTGCTGGGTTTGTGTCTCCCCCACCACTTCCGCATTTTCCCATACTATCCTGAAGATCGACGATTGGATGTGCACGTGCGTTTTGTTCCCCTCCTGAAGCACGTCATGCGCGGCAACCACGGTCGCGAGGAAGGGCCCACGGAGATCATCGAAACGCCGGGGAAATCATCCACGGCCTCTCGGCACCCCCTGATGGTCCGAAGCTGGAGCTGCACCGATCTCTACGTGCGTCTGCTGCTTATCGCTCCTGCCATCTCTGATCCCTGCTACCTTTGGGAAAGTGCCCCCAAAGTGACGGCCAAGAGTGGATGGATCGCGTTCACTCAAGTTCCGATTATCCAAGCACGTGCTCGCCTAGAAG